TTTGAAAAATATGTTTAAAATCACGTACATTCACATAATATCAGTAGCTGATTTATTTTATATACAAATTGTCGCCTCATGGGGGCTGCAATTTTGAAATCACATGACCACCTGAAAAATTACTCTGTTTTTCTCCTTAACTTTCCTATTGTTGTACAATATCACTGACATAATAAATTGATAGTATTAGAACTATTTATAGTAATATAACTAAAAGTAATAGACAATTGCAATGGAATTTATTTTAAATGAATGTTGAAAAAGAAACGACTAATGATGTTTTTGTAACCTTACCAAATTTTTCAGACGGGCCTTATAACTTGGCAGTAAATTCTGACCAAGGTCTGAAAACTGAAGGGGTGTTCATGGTGAACCTGGAGGAACTGGTCTTTTTTGAGTGTATTGCAGACTCCAACCCTCCCAACACCTGCGTCTGGATCTCTAAGACGAAGAACGGTACAGAGGTTCTCATGACTGGACCACGGTTCGAAGTGAAGCCGTATGAGTTACCCCAGGGTAAAGAGTTCTTGTGTAGAGCATTCAACAATATGACTAAGAAGCAGGACGAGACCAAGTTCACACTGGTGATGGCCAGTCTTGACAGAGGTATGTTTGCGTTCACTGTTTGAGATCTGCACATTCATCCTCAAGCCAAAACAGTAATTTCATAAAAAGGACCCTCAAATTATTTTATTAAATTCTTCTGACCTAATCAACTCAAAGTAGATTGACACTATTGAAGCTTAAATAATTCTACAAACAAACAAATAAATAAATATTGTTTAATAATAATACAAAATAGGCTATAATTAATAATAAGAATAATAATGATAAAAACTGTAATAATGACAAAAATGGTTACTGGCTTTAGTGTTTTAAGTTAATCTATCTTATTTGTTATTCGTTTATTCCATCCATTGTCAGTCTGCATGGTCGTGGCAAGCTGTTTTTTTTTCTCCCCAGTTGCTAAGTGCAAATCTGTCCCACCTGTGATTAAGTGTTGCTGTTCCACTGGAAAGTAAATAGGGGCTGGCACCTGTCCTTATTGTTTACGTTGTTACAGGCAGTGAATTTTGGTTCAGTGTGGATACAGAATAAAAAAATGCAAGCATGCAATGCAAGTTCTTGGTTGTTTAAAGGTGAAGATCACACCAGAAATGATGTATTTTAAAATATAAAATGTAAGTAACACTGATATCGATCTGTTTCCAGAAAAAGCAAAATATAGCCAGGAAGGGAGTGTGCTGTCTTCATTGGCTTTCATTACAATCTCGTCAGTCCTCATCATAGTGTGTATGATGTTTGTGCTCCTGAGGAAGAGCTGCCATCCAAGAAGAAGTATGATCTCATTCTGATTTTTAAAGATATTCAGGCATCACCTTAATAATGTGTCATTTGAACAAAATCATTATTTATTAAATCATTTGTTTAAAGACCCCCATTTGTGGCTTTAAGTCAGAGAGTGTCAAAAAGAGTCCCTCATCCCCTTTAACGGTAACACTTTACAATAAGGTTCATTAGTTAACATTAGTTAACTACTTTAGTTAACATGAACTAAGCATGAACAATACGTCTACAGCATTTATTAATCTTAGTTAATGTTAATTTCAACATTTACTACTGCATTATTAAACTCAAAAGTTGTGCTTGTTAACATTAGTTAATGCACTGTGAATTAACATGAACTAACTATGAACAACTGTATTTTCATTAACTAACCTTAACAAAGATTGGTAAATACTGTAATAAATGTATTGTTCATTGTTTGTTCATGTTAGTTAATACATTAACTAACATTAACTAATGGAACCTTATTGTAAAGTGTTACCCCTTTGACTATGTCTGTTTGCTTGAAAAAAGATGTAATCTAAAAATGCAGAAAAATATCAACACAGGACAGAAAACTGTTTCAACTTATTTCAAAGGGGTTTTTAATATTTAAATCAGTTTATATTTAAATTAAATAATTGTAATTCATTAGCAATAATTTACATTCAATTTGATCCCTTTTCTACAGTGATAAAGACTATCTACAGGCGGTAAGAAAATGTTTCTTATCTATACAAATATCTGAGAAATATGTGACGCGTTTATTTATTTAAGTGACATCATTGATGGATTGTTCCTGTCCTCCAGGCCAATGACAGAGCAGAGAGGACTGCGCCGCTCTGGTAGGTTTACTGCATGTCTCGGACTACAATATACCTGTGTTGTTAAGCAGTGATGTGTACACTGCCTCTCTGTGCAAACAAACTCCCCAAGCCCATTAACATCACAACTGCTATAATCATATCGGCTTGGTTTCTGTCAGCATACATTATAAACATATTTTCCACTTTGCTGGTGTGCTGGCTTTACTTGGCTATACACAGTTACTCCCTTTGGAAAATAAATAGGATATTACCAACGACTTACTGTCTAAAATAAAATACTTGTGTGCTAGTGAACCAAAAATGGTGCATGCAAACATTGTTTAATTATTACTGTGAGAACAAATTGCTTTAAATAGCCTACATTACATAATATGGATCTCAATAGAAGTTAATGGTTAGTAAAGTTGTTTCATTACAAATAAAATGATAAGTAAAAACGAATAAATAGATGAAAAATAAATCAACAGAATAATTATATTACTTAGTGTATTGTATATATTATACAGTGCCTAAAATTGGCTTTGTATTGTGATAAATATACACTAATCTGATTAATATACCTACTTGCAGGTCATGAAGATGCAACTGAAGACTTTGGCATTTATGAATTTGTCTCTGTACCTGGGAAAATGGAGTCAACACAGGTTAAACAAAATAATAATCACTTGGCGTTTTGCATGAGCAGTTTTGCCCCAGAACAGTTTGATATTTCTTCTCTGTGTTTTCCAGGCATCCTGCAGGTCTTTGACACGGCTTGATTCAGTCAAAGATTTGCATACCACCATCTATGATGTCATCAAACATGTGCCTGAAACTCCAACCCTGAGTCTTTTGAAATGAGAGAGGTGGGTAGTCATGATGTCTGCTCGGATGTAAAGATGAAAGGCGTTTCACTATTTTTTTCTGCCAATTTTTCTCTCTACAGTCACACAGTTAAGCACTTCTTTTGTTTGACAATTATTCATTTTTGATACTACTTATACTAATCATACATTTATAAACTTGTGCTGGACACTGAAGTTTTTATTGTCTTAAAATAAGAGAACTATGAGATTTTTTTCTGTAGCAGCATGCTTAATGAAAAGCTGAGAGTATTTATATATAAATACAGTCGTCATCTAATGTTGTTGTTCCTGCATTTTGAATGTAAATATGATGTATGCATCTTGTACATTGAATCTGTATTTTTTTGCACACTGCAGCGTATTCTGTTATATTGCTCATTACATTTTCAAGATGCCACATGTTTTATATATATATATATATATATATTTCATGGGTAGCAGTTTGTTGAATGTAAAACAGGCATCTTCTGTCTGTTCTGTTTTCTATGTGTTGCACCCGCACCTGTTCACATTTTAAACACAGATGGATGCTCCGGAATGTGAAAATAAAGGTTTTTAGAATAATTGTTATTTTATTAAATATAAGCCATAACAAGAATTTTGATTGACTTTTTAGAGTTTAGCTCTCTGAATTTATTATGTTGATGAAAATGCTGCATCTCTGAGTCTCTTTTTATGTTTGTGCATCATAAATGTTTAAATGTAGAAAATTAGAAATATGGCAAGTATTGCTGTGAGTCTTTCTGTGTACATATTAAGCTGATCATTTTAATTTTGGTAAGCACTGTTGGGTATTTCAACCAGAGAGATTGTCTGGTAGCTATAACCGGCAATATACTGGAACCAACACAGTGCTTTATAAAAGGATGATTTATTATATGACTATGTGTGTATTTTCTCAGTTTCAAAGGAAGAGCAGAAGCATTCATCAACAGCTCAGCTTCCTGGAGCGAGGTGCCACTCCCTTATTTGAGAGGGAAATGTTCAGTGATATCAGCGGTGCTTTATTGACGAGAAACACTTGCTCTCTTATGTGTGCTCACATCAGCATGAACAGCCAGTTGGAAGGGCTCGTCTCTAACACCCACGCTAGAATATATTTGTCAGGTAGCAGATATTTTTGCTGTAAACTTTTCTCTGAACTGTGAGATGTAAAAGCCCCAAACAAATGAGGTTTTGTGGCATTTTCCAAGAATCCTTGACTCGTTCTATGTTACGTGTCTGTGGACCTCAAGTGCAACACACAGTGCAGTCTTCTACAACAGACAGAAATAAGTTGTGCATGTGTGTGTGTGTGTGTGTGTGTGTGTGTAGTCAGGGGTCTAGAAATTTTTAGAAAATCTAGGAGACACCTTATAGCTTTCATTTTTAATCATCGCTCAAAAAGCTGGGAGGAAAAATCGAAATATCTACACCCCATTATACAAATATAACTGCTTTCTAAGAGGCATGCCAGATTTTTAATTTGCTTTAAATGTAAAACTGATCAAAACAAATAAGCACGAGAACCATCATTTTGTCTTCAGAGAATGCCACAGGAAAACAAAAAAGAGGAAAAAGTCAAAATTATGAAATATAAATTTGACATTGTGATATAAAAAGTGGAAGTTATGACTCCAGCATAATTATGACAAAATGTGAAAAACTCAAAAGAAAAAAGTACAAATTATGACTTCAAAAGTCGACATTATGAGATAAAAGTCATAATTATTATTTTTATATCTTTTAGATATTTATATATATATATATATATATATATATAAGCATAATTTCTACTTTTAGGTCATAATTACTATGTATCAAAGCATGATTTTTCTTATGAGGTGGAACTGAGGCTAGATGGGATACAGCTACGGCCACTGGGAATGCGTTTTGTCTCGCTGAACAACAATTGTAACTGGGCTTCACAGTTTAAACAGTTTTTGTCTACTGCTCTGTACTACTTCCTCTATATCAGAGGAACTACATATCCCATGCTGCACTTGGCCATCTGTCACGTGAGTCCAACAGTGAAACATGGCACCTGTCTAGCACTGCAAGGATTGAATCGCGTTTGACAGAAAAAGAGCAGAGGATACATCACGTTTACTGCTTAGTGTTTTCAACTATACAATGCAGAAAATCAAGTCTTTGATGGCCCGTCAGGTGGGTTATTTCTCATTTTACATCAGTGTGCTTCTTGATTTCATTGACGAATCCGGAAGCATTTTATTAAGCTAGCCCGCTTGCTAAAATACAAACAAACAGAAAAAACAGCTGATATTTTCTCAGATATGCACATTTACTCATTGTATCATAACGCATTCAATCAGTGCATGTGGAATAATTCAAGGAAATATCTGAATGATAAATAAAAAGATAATGGTGAGCTCTTGGACAGTAACATTAGCTTAAGATGTTTAGAGTTAATAAAGCGTACATGTAACTTATTGAGTTTATTATTATTTTAAAGAAACTCCCTTTTAAACCTGTTATAAATAGATGTTAAATCTAAACGGCTGTACGTTGTTAACCATTATTTTGTCGTTGAGCTATATGGTCCCTGCATTGTCAGGTGGATTATTGCTCGTATTTATTATTTCTCAAAAGACGAGTTATACAATATTTTTTGTGGGTTGACGTTTTGATACATTTTAAGTGTTCAGGGTGTGATCTTTTGAAGCTCATCTCGCACAACGTAAATAGGCAGCTCAGCCGAATTTGTTAGCTTTATGTAAATCTATTGTAAAGTGTCGAATAATCGCTATATTTATGTTTTTGGTAGTTATTAAAAAAGATCCTAAAAAATGTGCTCGAGCTGTTGCTATGGTTCAACAAATGGTTGGAAACATTTGAACCTCAAATTGAAAAAAGAATATATGCTTTATGGTAGTGTGGGATAAAAACAGGGGTCTGGGGACCCCCGGGGGCCACAAGGTTAGCAGGTCTGTGTAAAAGTTTACTGTAAAACTGTATAAATAAATAATACAAACAATATTAAACTGAGTTAATACAATTGTAATTAATATAAAAATGTTACTTTTAATAAATAAATTAAATAAAAAAATAATGTCATTTAATATACACTACATATTTTCCAAATAATATTTTACACATATTTATAACAGTATAAATGGGGTCTTTTATATATTGGGTCTCTTGCATTAGGAATGTCATATTTGAAGGTCTGATGCATCTGAAAGATTGAAACCCCCTGGTTTAAGAATCCCAACACCCCCATCCCCATATATCGCTGCCTAATATTTATAGTTTAATGTTTATTTTCTCTGCCAGGGTCTGAAGAGTCCCCAGGAGAGTGTGGTTGACATGAGCCCTGTGGAGAGCTTCAGGACCCCCAGCAAGGTGACTAATGCATCAGTTTATGTTCTCAAACCTAACCTGTACTCTTTCAGCATTAAGCTGTCACGTTTGTGAATGGATTTTGTTAGGCTGCTATGTAGATTTTTTGATGCATCTTGGCACTCACTTATGAAGGTTGACAAATGCCTGTTGAAAAATGTCTTTATTGACTGGATGAATCAATCTTCCTTGAATATTGCGGTCTAGGTCTGGATTACATGATAACTACAGTAAATGTTTTTTGTTTTTCTTTTTTTCTGTGAAATGTCATGATGTGTCTGAGTAGAAAATATGCAGAATATAACCTCAGTCTTATTCTCCTGGGTATTAATCATAGTGTGAAAGAGGTAAAAATGTAACTATTTGAATAAATTAAGGATGCTCATTTCAGTTAATTTTCCTGACCGACAACTGCTACATTAACCGTCAACTGATAAAATTAGAATAATAATAATATATATAAACACCAGTGCTCTGATCACTGCTGCTGAGTTCTGCACGTTCGCGAATTCTCTCATTACATCAAAGAAAGTGTCGACATGATGTAAATAAGAAATGTATTGTGTAGTGTAAAGCTTAACTTTGTGGGACTGCAATGAACTACAGTAAGATGAGTGACAGCTTTCCAGTGATTATAAGGGGAGTGCTCTTTGCGCACTTTCTAGGCTATAATCCATTCAGAATTTGAATACATTCACTCACGGATTCACTCTCTGATAACCATATATCCAATATTGCCACTTGCCATTGTCTTGCATATATTACATAATTTAATAAAATGAAGGTGAAGCAAGTTCTTGCTCAGTGAAATATGCCTGTAGGCACGTTGCATGTGTCGACACGCACCCATGAGTTAACAAATATGTGTAGCATTTTTTTTTTCATTCACCATGCAGCAACTTAAAAAAAAAAAAAAAATTGACCGTTTAACTGATTCTTACTTTCAGTTAATGGTTAAACTGGCAATATGAGCATCCCTAGAATAAATACATCTTATGTTGAGCTTTGTGAAATGACATTTCATATATTAAAGAGCCAATCGGACATGCCTTTATATTCACATGTAACATGTTTCAGAAATATTTAGAAATAAAGGAGAGAGTATAAAAAAAGTGAATCAGACTTTGGCTGAGCCTTAGTGCAGCAGTGCCACTGAGTTGTATTCTGACCTTCGTTGAGTGAGATAGATGTAAGTTGGTCATGGTCCAGTGCATTGGTTCTAGCGCTACCTCACAGGTCCATTAAATCAGCAGGTCCGTTCTGTGATTAGGCCCCTTTCAGATGTTCTGGCTGTAGGTTTCTAAGGTAATTTTAGTGCTCGATGTACACTCTCAACCGCAGCTCTGATATTTCCTGCTGATGCTTTTTACTTTTAATCCCTGGTTATTGCAGACATAACCCAAATCAAGGAGACTCATTCCCACCGGTGGAGAGTGTGTTTGTTGTTATTCTGTATGTAACACGTACTTCAGAAAATGATTTCCAGAAGCATCCGGCTTAGATCCCTGGTGGGATTTGTTTCAACACTTTTGAAATTTTCCTGAAACGACTGAGGCACTGAGAAAGTGTTTGATCATTGAAATGAGCGGTCTGTCCATAGCGTGTAGTGTACAGGAAAAGGATGGATTAGTCCTCAAAATAGCTTCCAAGCTCTTCTGTGTCATTAATGAGGATTGTGTGCAGGAAAAATAGACTTAATTTTGAAGTCCTTGTCTGCAGGTTATCATTTTCTTGAAAGTTAAAGTTCTAGGGGAGCATCCTGGTTTTTAACAGTTTCTTTTAACAAGTAAACAAGATAATTCCATCTTATTGTTCAGTTCAGGGCATCACAAGAAGGTTTTTTTTTCTCTTTCAGTATTTAAGATTTTTGTTTCCCAACATTTTTACTTTTTGTTTTTAACAAATGTGATTATATTTTATATATATCAGAGAAAAGGTTTCTTAAAGGATCTTGGAGACGTTACCACAGTTCTTCTGGATTTAGTCTGTCTCAGTTTTGTTCTGGTTCTTCATGTCATTCCAGACAGTCTGGATGATGGTGAGATCAGATCTCTGTGTGGAGCACTGGCTGTTGTCAGACTCCTTGTGCATACAAAAATCTCACTGGATTATTACAATTAATGGCAAAAGGAAAGTTTGGAAATGTAAACTGATATTTCTTACTGACACTACAGCAAAAGATAGAAAGAACTGACTTGAAACCATTTTTGTTGGTGAAAATACTTTTGCACTGTAGTGTATATACAGGAATCAACACATTTTAAAACATGAGAGGAGATGAACAATATTGAAGATGTGTAACAGAGTTTATTTAGTTTATCATATATCTGTTTGATTTGTTCTTGTTGTTTATGTCTGGTAAAACACACGAGGTTTAGATATCACGATATAAACCATGTGTTTTTTGTTGTTGTTTTTTTTACAATGTCACAAGCCAATTAGCCAGTGAATATTTTATTTTTTAAGGCCAGCTTTTACTCTGATTTAGCTCTTGGCTAGTGTTCATTTTGGGACTTGTGTGCTCGACAAATGTCCTGTCATTTCCGCTGTATGGCTTTGTGTTTTGCACTGAAGAGGTTTTATAATTTGAACTTGTCAAATAACGGGATATGGAAAAATGTTCTTTTGGGATGTTTTGAATCCCATTTTTTCCTGCACAGTCTCTCTGGTGTCCTCTAGATGGCACTACAATCACAGAATTAAGGCATTATCAAGCAGTCTTGAATGCCTCTTGAAGAATTGCTGTGAAAATTAATGAACATTTATACCGTTTATTTACGTCATTAGACTTATGTCGTCATTACCCTCATCATATTATGCATAACATTGTAATATGTAGAAAATTATTCATAAGATGACTCATTCTTATGTACATCCAAGCGTGGGTGTACTTTTGGAGGTTACAGCCGCATATACATTCATAATCAGCAACTTTTCTCTCCCTCCCATTTCATGCATATTGCAGCCTGGAAGAATTAAATTATTTTTAATGGAGTCCATTATTTGTAAAGATCTCACAAATAAAAGCTGGAGCAGGTACAGAGTATTGTTACAAAGTAGTGTGAGTCGGGTTCACTCACGTCTTGTAGCAGATGTAACATCAGCAGCAGCTGTCTGTCTCTTCTCTCTCATCTCAGCCCATGTGAACAAATGCTCATTGCTATTTTTAATATGATTGAAAATCACACTCTCTCCTGCGTTTGATCAACATCATTCAGTAACCCTTCAGTTCACTCCTCCCAAGCTTTGATTGATGTATAGCACGTCAAGTCACACTTTTATGTGCAAATAGACTCATGGTTGTCTCCGTTTGGGCACGGGGAATAAAAGGATGAGAGGTGTTAATTTTGGTAAACATTGGCTGTCTCCATGGGATGGAAAGATAATTGAACAAAGGCTTGGTGATCATTTTAATTAGAGTGGCTGAGTTTGTTTTATTTTCCAAGTGACCGTTTGGGTGGGAAATGATTGATGTTTTCAATCTCATCCGATCGAATCGTGGACTTCATTCACACCTAATTTGTTGCAATACTTTTCATTTTCTCACCTAATTTGCTGCTATTTTAAGAAAGCTGGTTAAAGGGGCTGTCACGCATAGTTTTTGTTCCATCGACTTCTATTCATGCGAATGCTGGAGACCGTGCAAAGAAGTGTCGCATTTTGTTGCATTCCAGAATTCATATCATAAATTAAAATTACATGAAGACGTGTTAAAGGAACACAAACTTTAAAGCTCCTGGATTGCCGGACTGCAGGAAAGTGGAGTAAATTAAAAGTGATGTGACGTATGTACATGATATGTAAGTTTTTTTTTCCACAAATGTTACATCAATAATAATGTTTTTAAAGCTAAAGCTAACTCCAAACCTTTGCAACATATGCTAAAGAGCTTATCCTCATCCTGTGGGATGCATGACTTTATCCACAGCGCCACCTTAAGCATTCCGTTTTAATGGTAAGAAGTGAGGGATTCAGTAGGAAAGTAGGCCTTTTTTATTGTGTCTGAGGTAGAAACTTGCAAAAATCGATCAATCCGAGAAGTCGTTTTTGATTATTTTTTACTAGTACCCGACAGACAGCTGCTCATGCACTTACCTAGATTTCAGTAAAGAAAATGTTATAAAGACAACATAGTTTACTGCTTTTTGCATAAACAAAAAAAAGAAAAAGAAATACCCATTTAAAAAAAGTGAAACCTACATCTGTAAAACAGTATTTTTTAGACTTTCATCTTTGGCCTTTCAGGATGTTATGCAGCTTTTAGTAAATCAATAAATCAAATTTGACCCAGAAATATGTGACATTTTCTAAGATTTAGCCCCTCACACTTACTGTTCTGCAACCCCCTGGGAACTATCTCTCCCACAGAGTGGATATTTTCCTGTCAAGCAGGGTGTGCACACACACACTAAGAGTATATAAATATATATGTAATTCCCCAAGGGGGAAAAAAAGCTGTTATTTTTCTACTAAAACTCTTCAAGGCACCAAAACCACTGCAGCACTTTCTTAAACTCCTGTAGTACTGAAACAAATTGTTTGCTATAATGAGGGTGGAATAGCTAGATTTTCTGTGATAGAAGTGAAAATGATTGGTTCTTCATCTCCTTTTACTCATTGTTTTACTCCCAGAAGTATTGTAATAATAATTATTTTAATTAATTGTAATTTTTAAAATTTATGTAGTAACAATTTGAATTTCATCTCAACTTTGAATATTTTTAGAGTACTAATGCAATTAATACATTTTAATGGTAGGATAAAATTGGACCTATAAGGAGGGTGGGAGGTTGTGTTAAAATGTACTTTTGAAGGCGTATTACTATTTACTATTTACTATTGAAGAAACCATCTGTTTGGGGGAAAGGTCCAAAAAATTTGAAATTATAACCCAGTTAACATTTCAACATTTCTTAAAATATTAAGAAAAAATGGTTAAGGAGATACAATGCAGATGTTTAAAGCTATTATAATATATTATTTTAAATTTGAATGATAGTTCTAAAAAAAAAAAAAAAAAAAAAAAAAAAAAATTGGTTTTTAAAAATTACTTTAAGGGACAGAAAAGTTTACATAATTAAAGAATTATGTTCATTTTGTCACCGTTTATGAGCACACTTGAAAATATATTGATGACCTCAAAGCTATTAGACTTTGACTAATAGCCTTAAATGTCCAGATTTGATTTCAAGGTGTCTTTGAGGCCTAATGATAACAAGTGAGCCCAAGGATTTTGTCTTTTGTTCTTGCTGTGCGTGCACCAGTGGAGAATGACTCATACCACCCCACCCCCTGCGGATGCTGATGCTGGTGCCGTCCCTCAGTGAGTTCACCCACGCTCCCTCACAGTGCTGCCTACATCAGACTGCACTGCATACACACCGCATCATGTGTCTTTGAGGTGATTAAAGGCTTTCAGGCCAAATCATTCCTTAGATTCTATCTCAATGAGTGACATCACATTGCAGCCTTTATAGGAAGATCCTTCATATATTACCAAGTGTCCAATTTTGAGTTCTTTCAGTAGTGTCAAACATGAATAAGTGGTTTATTGATTTGGAACGTTTTCTGTGAATTTGGCTGATGGCTGTAATTAAAGGGATTTTAAACATTACCTCCACATCTGCTCTTGTAATTCAGTATGGCTTAGTAAGTTTATCTCAGTCTTCGTCATGAAGCTGTTTTAACCACATTGCATCACATCATGTGAATCATGCGTAATGATCCTCTCAGCACCCCTCTTCAAAGAAAAGAGGACGACTTTGTTTCTTCAAGCTGTTTTGAGTGAAATTGATGCTCCTGTGGTGATCCTCATTAAGGTTCATGAAGGGTGTTCCTCAGGGATGGGTGCTAAGACCACTTAATCTTTGCACTCGGCTTGGCTATAAGCCAGATTCAAACCCTGTTTTTAGGTGCGCGGTAAGCTTCCCCACAATGGTGTCCTAGAAGTAGTGAGATTTCCCTGCCAATAATCATTCTCGTTTCTCTTTTTCTCCCCACAGGAGGAACTGAGGGAACTGAGAGAACAACCCACGGATCCACAGGTGGAACAGGAAATCATTGATAGCATAGAGGAAGTGTACTTCTCCAGTGACTCCTTTGACACGGTGCAATACGAGCTTGAGGTGTGTGTTTGAGAAAGGCATAATGTGTTCTGTTCTTATTATCTTACCATTTGCAGAATCTGTAAGATGTTTAGCATTTTTAAATCACTTTTTACTTTGGGGACAAACTCTCAGAATGAACTAATTATTAACTGCAACTTTTGCCTTAAACTAGTAAGGTAGTTGTGAAGTATATGTGTGGGGTAAGATTAAGGGATCTAAAATATGCAGGGATCATGCAGAATAAGGCATTAATATGTGCTTTTAAAGTACTAATAAACAGACAATATTATAGTAATGCTAATAAGCAACTAGTTAATAGTGAGAGTTGGTCCCTAAACTAAAGTGTTACCATTTTTTCTTTTTTGAGTGTAAGGATTTCTTTCAGAAACATAAAAAAAGGGAAATCTTTTGTGTGTGTGTGTGTATTTATATATATATATATATATATATATATATATATATATATATATATATATATATATACATACACACACACATACATATACACATATACA